AAGAGCACCCACCTTCTATTTCCCTTTTCCCTTAACATTGGGATGAAAGCGCCTCTTTCTCTTGACACCACTTTCCCCAATAGCCAACATATGAGTGATTGATCTTGTGTTCCTAGGTGGAACAATGATTTCCTCAGGAGTCTTGAGCATCCCATGTACCTCCATGATACTCTTTTCAAAAACCATTCATATAGTAGTTCATAGTGAAGTGCTTGTATGCACGAGTCAAAGAGTTAAGAATGAAATCAATAGCCAAATCTTAAGTTAATCGGAAGCTAAGACGTTCAAGTCTGTCTAAGTACCTTTTCATCTTTATAACATGGGTACTCATAGAATCAGCCTCCTGTTGCTTGCAACCTAGAATTGATTACATCACCTTGAATCTCTCAGTTCAAGCTTGCTCTTGGAACATGTCTTTGAGCTACTCGCTCATTTGGTACGCCCCATGATTCTCGCAACTCTTTTGGAGTTCAAAAGACATGGTCTCCAACATTAGACACGAGACCTCGATAGAGTGATAGTGATGTTTTTCATGTTTGGCTTCTTCTTCTTTAGTAACATCATCAGGAAGCACATCTTCAAGATAGTCGTCCAAGACATACTCTTTTTTATACCTCAAAGTGATCCTCAGGCTACAAATCTAATCAAGGTGGCTTGGACCATTCCGCTTATCTCACGAGAAGACTGAGAGTAGTGAGAAGTTTTGCTTAAGTGGTTGGTGTAGGAGGAGGAGTAGCACCCAAACCAGAAGACGTCTATTTAAGGAAAAAGATAAAAAAAAAGAATAGTTTGATCAAGAAATCCTTTTAATATAATTACCCAATACCAAATTATTAAACAAAAGGCTAGGATCTATATTTGGTTTCACAATGTAAAGTGGATTAGCCGAAATTACAAAATGATGTTATTTAGGTGGACAAACTATTGTCGATCTCAATATCTATGAGATTCCTAGAAAATGAGATTTATTGACTTATGTCAACAACTTGTTAATCTCTTATAATGCTCATTTAGAAATCATGATTGTATTAGCCAAGGATCATGAATCCAAATGGTGAATCAACCATGCGAAGTTACAATCAGATTCGGCTCAAGTAACGCTTGAGAATCGCGATCAACATATACCTTTCCTTGACTATATTCTTCTCTTGACGAGCCGATAAACCACACATGCTCATATCAAAAAGAATATACCACATGGCGTAATTTCCATGGGAAGCATAAGATTTACATTATTATAAAATGGGATTTTGTTTTAGTACTTATTAAGTGAATACTTTTAACTTTGTACAATTGTCCCAATAACTCCACTTCAAAAGCAAGAAGGTTGTGAGGATGGCAAGCAATAAATGCCACTTAAAAGCCGACCTCATTAGGAATCAAAGAGCTCTACCTTAAACCTCCTTTATAACAAGGTAAGACTAACAATGCACATTTAAGAAACATGCAAGGATGTAATGTTTGTAGTTGATGTGATATATATAAATACGATTTTACAATATATATTGATCGTATTGGTCCATTCGCATGACCGAATAATATCGACCTGGCTACATGGCGGAGGTAATGGCCAACCATGTTGTTTAGTGCTCGTTTTTCGATCACTAAATGAATTAAAAACTTATTTTTTGTCCCCGGATTTTACAATTTACATCATTTTTTTAACTTAAAAAGATAAATTTACGTTAATAACTGTAATAGACTTAATATTTCCCGGTTGGTATATTTTTTCCCATTCAGTTGGGTTTTTGACATGTCTTGCATGAGTTCCTCATCTCTTATTCTATAGGAAGATGAGAGTTGGGCTTCTTCTTATGAAGTCCAAAGTTCTTAAAGGAATTGACGGCTCAATAACTTGTTTTTACAAGTTCACCTAAGCTTCTTAGGTCCTCTCCGCCTATTCTACAGGTTAGTGGGAGTTGGTTTTCTTTGCGCAAAAATCTATAATATAGCACCACGTGCTTCTCATCTGAATTGACGGCTTTCATCACCACTTGTCATCAAAAGTGCAACTCAAGTTTCTTGAGTTCCCCTCTGCCTATTCTACAGGTTGGTGGGAGTTGGTTTTATTTGCACGAAATCCAAAATATAATAATACATCATGCTTTGCATCGGAATTGTCAATATTCATTTTACTTGTTATTGCAAGTGTAACCTGTGTCTCACAAGTTCCCCACCGCCTAGTCTACGGGTCTTGGTGGGAGTTGGACTTCCTCTTATGATGTTCAAAAATCTATAAGGAATTGACAGATTTTATCTTGTGTACACAAGATTGCCTAGGTTTTTTAGGTCCCCACTACTTATTCCACGAGTCTTGGTGGGAGTTGGACTCATATTATAATGTCCAAATGGTTTTCTCAAGGAATTGACAGTTTCGAAAGTAGAAAAATTCATCACGAGCAAATAAATGCGAATAAAAGATGTTTGGAAGATTGACCATGTCTCGGTGTTTTCATCATATCTGGATCCTCGTGACTCCGATTTAGGCGATTCAAGATGTTCCGGAAACTAGACACAATCATCTACAAGTTTCGTGTTTTCAGTTTTCTCAAGTTCGGTCGTTTTCCAGTTCATAATCGATGTGGAAGTTGAAGTTAGTTTGCTGTTAGAAAAAATAAAAGCTGAAAATAAAATTTGAATTAAAGTTGAAAGATCAAGGGCTAAAGTTGTACCATGCTGAAAGTTAAAAGCTAGGGGCCAAGGCTGCACCGTTCTTGAAAGTTGGAGGCTATTTTGTATAATTATTTTTATATATTATGGTTTACGTGATTAGGAGGAGGATACGGACGCAAGGAAACCCTACGGCAGAAAGTGGCAGCGATTGAAGAGGATATATGAATTCGTTCTTGAGGGCTACGTATGCACTGTGCAATCACATATACAAAGTAAATCAATTTGGTCTTTACTTGACTTTCTAGTTATTTTGTTTATTTATTTATTTTTGTATCTCCTGCTACCACCGTAACTTGCTTTCAATTCATTGTGTGCTATTTTTATGTTTGTTTTAAATATGATGTTTAAACTTTGTTTATTTACGGTTATCATTATCAATGTTAATTTTATGGAGTAGTAAGTTTGTGGGTTTGGTTGACTAGGGTAAGATGGTAATTTTAATGTACTTGAACGAATTTTGTTGAAATCAAATAGCATATTAAAATGTGTGCTCATTTTAAAAATATAAATTTTAACGGGTAAATTTGATTTTGGCTAGCACTTGATCAACGTTAGTTAGGGTTAATTTGCTTGGTTTGAATTTTAATATTTACATGCAATATTGACATTCGAAAGAAACTTTATTTGTGACGTCGTTTGGATATAAATGTTCGGTTTCATTATCTCGATTAAACTGAATATAGACATGTGTTAGGGCATTTTTAACAAAACCATGAGACTTAATGCTTTTTAAAATCACGAACTACCTAAAGATATGAGTGAATGTTTTTAAATCGAATCATGAGACCGAGAGGTAATTGATAACTTTTGTTGGTGTTAAGTTATTCGTTTCTACATAATTAGTTTGAGAAATTAATTGCATTAGAAGAACCATTGAATCCCGTATAGGTCAACCAAATCCCACTTTTCTCATAACTGTTAATTCGTTGAATTTTTGTGTGTGCTTGGTTTTCATTATTACCTTGCTGAATTTAGTTTAATTTTATTTTAATAGTTTCCCTAGTTTATTAAAATCAATCATTGTTGCAATCAATTGCCTAGTCCATTCTTCCTTAGAATAGGATAGTCCCTGTGGGTTCGATATCTGCTCTTACAACTATATTACTTGCACGACCTCGTATACTTGCGAGTACGTGCTTTCGTCAACAAGTTTTTGGCGCCGTTGTCGGGGATTATTTTTACATTTAAGTTAGAACATTAGGTAGTTGTTAGACTCTTAAACATCTTGAGGATATTTTACTCTGGCCGATCGAAGATTCAGACCACCTGAATTTGCGATTGATTGGGAGATTGAAAGAACTTTGAGAGGGTTGAGGAGACTTTGGATTCAAGAAGAAATGCGGAAACGAAAACAATAATGGAAATAGAGGTTTCGAAGGAACAAACCCGCCGATTGTCAGCGCGACAATTAATGCTGACAATTTCGAATTCAAACTCGTGATGTTTTAGATGATCAACAACAATGGTCTTTTTGGAGGCATGCCTAGTGATGAGCCTTTGCCCCATTTGCGTTCCTTTAACCAAATGTGCGATAATTTTAAACAAAGAGGCATGACGGTTGATGCATTTAGGCTAAGATTATTTCCCTACACACTACAAGGGAAAGCTCGAGACTGGTTTGAGTCTTTGCCTTCTGATTTCATCACCACTTGGGAGGAATTAAGAGAAAAATTCCTAAAAAGATTTTTCCCACCCAGGCGAAATGCAAATCTAAGAAACATCATCACATCATTCCGACAAATGGATGGTGAATCGTTATGGGAAGTGTGGGAAAGATGGAATAATTTGTTGAGAAAATGTCAAACACATCGACTCCCTGATGATGTGAAACTGGAGACATTTTACCAAGGTTTGGATGCTCAAACACGCATGCTAGTAGATACACCAGTTGGAGGAGCTTTGCTCACAAAGAGCTATGGGGAGAGCATGGAAATATTGGACAAAATATTGCTCACAAAGGAAGTACATCAGCTGAAGTTCAGCTTGCAGCTCAAAGTGATGCGTTGGCAACTGAGTTGGCCACAATCAAGAGCATGATGAAGAATATGATGTCAAGTGGTGGGTCAAATGAAAAGAAAATTGCTATGAGTTTGTGTGCGTATTGTCAAGCGGGGCATGATTATAGTGAGTACCCATAGAATTCTGAATATGTATTTTTCATGGGTAGTCAAAATTTCCCACGACAAAACAACCCATACTCTGAAACATACAATCCAGGATGGAGAAATCATCCTAATTTCTCATGGGATGGACAAGAACAACAACAAATGTAACCTCATCAAGATCAGTTTCAGCAAAGGCCTCAAAACCCACCAGGGTTTTATCAAATGCCAAATCAACAAGTGAGACCACAAGGATGTGTATTCCACCAGGCACCAGGAAGTAGTTCAAAACCAGAAGCGCCTTCATCAAATCAAGAGATGTCACCTTTCGAGAAATCCATGATGGAGTTTATGATTAAACAAGATCAAAAGACTGAGGCGCATGAGAAGAATCAAGCAATTGCTACGAGAAATTTGGAAAATCAGTTAGGGCGGTTAGCACAAGCATTGAACTCACGAGAACCTGGAAGGTCGCCAAGTACCACCCAAAATCCAGGTAATGGAAATGATAAGAGGCAATGCAATGCCATCACGCTTAGATCGGGAAAGGAGTTCACTCCAAAGAATCATGAATTTCCAGCCACGAAAGATGAGCAGGACTCAGTAAGTGTTGATCGCGATAAGAAGAAGCAAGAATTGAAGGATGATGAAAAAGAGTATGTCGAGATTGAAGACATAACCGATGAAGAGTACGGTAAGAAGAAAGTGAACAAGCAAGGTCCAACAAGTTCAAGTCCAAGTACTAGAAATCAAAAGAAGGCCCAAGAAAAAGATGCTCGAACTGGTGTGACAGTTGCACCAACAACTTTGCCTTTCCCACCTAGGCAAAATAAGTCTAAAGTCGATGATGGGAAATTTAAGAAGTTTCTGGAGATCCTTTCTCAACTTCATATCAACATCCCTTTTGTTGAAGCCTTAAAACAAGTGCCCACATATGCAAAGTTTATGAAGGATGTTCTTACAAAGAAAAGAGTTTTTGGAGAATTTGAGACTGTTGCAATGACAAAAAGTTGCACATCAATAATCCAAAACAAATTGCCTGTGAAAAGGATGATCCAGGTAGTTTCGTTCTACCTTGTAGAATTGGAAAGTTAGACAAGATAAGCTTATGTGATTTGGGAGCAAGCATAAATTTGATGCATTTGTCTATTTTCCAGAGATTGGGAATTGGAGAAGCTAGGCCAACCACTATCTCACTCCAGCTGGCAGATCGATCGGTAGTATATCCAGAAGGTAAAATTGAGGATATTGTTATCAAAATTGACAATTTCTTTGTTCCTGCAGATTTTATCATTTTGGGTTATGAAGTCGACGACAATTGTGGAATAATTTTGGGAAGACCATTTGTAGCTACTGATGGAGCTTTGATTGATGTGAAAAAAAGGAGAAGTCACATTGAGAGTGAATGATGAGCAAAAGACATTCAATATGTTTACGGCTGTGAAGCAACATTATAATATGGAAGAGTGCTCATTTGTACGAGTCATAGATAACTTGGTAAATGCAGTAGTGGATTAATTGAGTAAAGTGACTCATGATATTGAGGAAATTGAAGAATGGAAAATAAAGGAAGATGTGAGATGGGTCAAGGTGGAGTTGGTACTGAAGGATAGGGTAATCGCACCAACATTACCCTCTATTGAAAAAGCACCGGATTTGGAGCTGAAGCAGCTTCCAACACACTTGAAATATGCATATTTGAGAGATGATACATTACCTGTAATTATCTCATCTCAATTGTCTAGTGTGCAGGAAAAAGAATTGATTGATGTTCTCAAAGAAAACGAGAAAGCGATTGGATGGACGTTAGCAGACATAAAAGGAATCAGTCTGACGATGTATATGCATAAGATAAATTTGGAGGAGGGAGCGAAAACATCTGTCGAGCACCAAAGGAGACTGAATCCATTGATGAAGGATGTTGTAAAAAAGGAAATCATCAAATGGTTAGATGCTCGGATTATCTACCCGATTGCCGATAGTGAGTGGATTAGTCCAGTGCATTGTGTTCTCGAGAAGGGTGGAGCAATAGTAGTTCAAAATGAGAATGGGGAAATGATGACAAAGAGGACAATGACAGGCTGGAGGATCTGTATAGATTACAGAAAGTTGAATACCGCCACTAGGAAGGATCATTTCCCATTACCGTTCATTGACCAGATGTTGGATCGTCTTGCTGGTAAGTCATTTTAATGCTTTTTGGATGGTTACTCTGAATATAATCAATTTCTATTACACCAGAAGATCAACACAAAACTACTTTCACCTGTCCATTTGGTACCTTTGCTTTTAGACGCATGCCTTTTGGTTTATGTAATGCCCTAGCTACATTCCAAAGGTGCATGATGTCTATTTTCTCAGACATGGTTGGAAATTTTGTCGAAATCTTTATGGATGATTTTTCAGTCCATGGTGATACATTTGAGAGTTGCATGAAAAATATGAATGCGGTATTGCAAAAGTGTGTCCAACATAATCTTGTGCTAAATTGGGAAAAATGCCATTTTATGGTAAAAGAAGGTATTGTGTTGGGACACAAGGTTTCTGAAAAAGGAATCGAGGTTGACCGGGCAAAGATTGAGATTATTGAAAGACTTGAAGCTCCTGTCAATGTCAAGGGTATTCGCAGCTTTCTAGGGCATGCTGGATTCTATAGGCGTTTTATAAAAGATTTCTCAAAAATAGCAAAGGCACTTGCCCAACTTTTGGTGTAACATCCATAAAACTCGATCCAATTTTAAAACTTTTTAAATCATTTAAAACCATTCAGTAATTACAATTTGTTTTCAAAATAGTTTAAACATCAGAGTTCCCAAAAATCATAATCATCAATCGAGGAAGTGTACGGTCACGCTTTCGCCTTCCCGCGGCCATCCGCTGAACCTAAAACAATAAACTGAAACTGTAAGCTCGAAAGCTTAGTGAGTTACCCCCAAAATACCTATACACCAATAATACACATACAATAACAAACAACATACTATGGGTCCAATCATACATCGGGATGGAATACCCCAGGCCCTCAACCATTAGGTTGGAATGCCAACATACCGATACACTTCACATAACACATATACAACTAACAGCATGTACTGGGTCCACAGTTTTACATAATGAATTACCCCTGGGCCTACAGTGTGAGTCTAGATTGTCTTCCGGGCCCACAACTTACATCTGGATTGCTGTCAAGCCCACAGTACAAGTCTCCCTTAGCTCGTATCTGGAATGCTCCCAGGTTTGTTGGTTACCGCACAGAGCAGTTTCACCTCAAGCCATCCCACATAATAGGTCGACATATAACACAACTAATGCACATACAAATAATCACATAATACTATAGGTAGTCCTACGGATCTACCTAACTGGCATAACAACTAGCATACAGACAGTCAGACCAACTATAGGTCACTAAGCATAACCACATCCGATCTACCAGGATACCGATCTAACATATCACAACAGTAATAACCCCAATAATAAAACAAAGGGTCGGCCTTAGTGCATTAGACCCTTGAGTACAGTAAGGATAACTCACCTCACAACTGACGCACTGAAGTGATAAGCTCCATTCTCGGATCACTGCCACAAACTCCACCACCTATATTCACCATAGAACCATACTCATAAGTTTCCAATTTTCCCAAAATGCCCCAGAAGTCAACTAGTCAACCCTTGGTCAAAGTCAAAGTCAACGCTGAAGGAAAACAGTCCATGTTGACCCGACTCGTCGAGTACAACCAACCACTCGCCGAGTCCCTTGCATAACTCGTCAACTCGCCGAGTCACTTGAGTGACTCGTCGAGTTCCTAATGTTTGCGGCCGTAAACTCCTTGGCCAACTCGTCGAGTTTACCTTCAACTCGCAGAGTTCATGCGTGTCCAAAGGTTGGGAAAACCCTAGCTGACTCGCCGAGCCCACGATAATCTTCATCGGACTCGCTGAGTTGACCATGCAACTCGCCGAGTCCCTTCAGTCCATTACCCATTCAGATGCTTTTTAAGCCATCTTAAGGTTCCATATTGCAGATCCAGCTTCCCAAGGCATGTTTATCACGTAAAGTTGCAAACTTTACGTGCATGCAAGGCTCTAAAGTCTTATAATGACAAAACCAAGCTTGCAATGGAGTTTTACACTTAAGGAGGGGTTCATACTTGCCAAAGATGACAGCTTTATGGACTTAGAGACCAAAGAGAGTTCAGATATGAAGTTACAACTTCAGATCTGATCTCTTACCCAAGAATAGCTTCATAATATGGTAGAAAAACCCAAATCTTAACCAAATGAGATCTAGAATAAATGAGGTCAAGGTAACGACTTGATACCTTCCAAAAGATGCCAACTGGGGTAGATATCAGATCCCCACATGTTCCTTGCTTCTAGCCACTTGCTCTCCAAGTTCTCCTTACAAAGATCCTCTTTCTAAAGCTTAAAACACACAAGAATGATGTACACACACATATTAGGGTTTATGGACTATCAAGAGGCTGTAAGGGGAGGCTGAGGAGGCCAATGTTCCTTTAAATAGGGCGCAAAACCCCGAAAATTAGGGTTTCATCCTCCAGCTCCTACTCGTCGAGTCTCTTCTTGGACTCGGCGAGTAGGTCACTTAAACACGTGGACCGACCCGCTGCTACTCGACAAGTTAGGCAACCAACTCATCGAGTAGACCTTGAAATCATGAGAATTTATAACAATAAATTTATACTCGAGAATCGGGGCGTTACATTTGGAGAAAGATTGAGAATTTATCTTTGATGGTGCATGCAAAAGAGCATTTGAGGAGTTGAAGATAAGACTTACTAGTGCACCTATCATTGTTGCACCTCATTGGGATGAGTCATTTGAGACCATGTGTGATGCAAGTGATACAGCCATTGGTGCAGTACTTGGGAAGTGAATAGGAAAGTTTTTCCACACGATTTTACTATGCTAGAACCACCCTGAATGGCGCCCAATTGAACTACACAACCACTGAAAAAGAGTTTTTAGCTGTGGTATTCTCACTTGAAAAGTTCGGATCATATCTTATTGGTGCAAAAGTGATTGTATACACGGATCATGCAGCAATTAGATACTTGATGGCAAAAAAGGATGCCAAGGCAAGGCTGATCAGGTGGATTTTGTTGTTGCAAGAGTTTGATCTAGAGGTGCGAGATAAGAAAGGAGTTGAGAATGTGGTTGTAGATCACCTCTTAAGGTTAGAAAGTGAAAGTATAAAATATGATTAGCCAGTGACTCAAGATAGCTTTCTATATGAGGGGATATTGAGAGTAAGCGGAGAACACCCATGGTATGCTTACATTGTGAATTACTTAGTAGGTGGTGTATTTCCTGATGGGTTTAGTTGGCATCAAAAGAAGAAGCTAATGTCTGATGCTAAATTCTATTTTTGGGATGAGCCGTATATGTTTAGACGAAATGCTGATAAAAATGTGGAGGAGATGTATCCCAGAAATGGAACAAAAGCAAATTCTAGAAAAATGTCACAACTCAGAATATGGAGGTCACTTTCAAGGTGAAAAGACTGGAATACGTGTCCTTCATTCAGGATTTTATTGGCCAAGTCTATTTAAAGATACATATGAGTTTATGAAAAGATGTGACAGATGACAGCGAACTGGAAATATTGGAACAAGACAAGCCACTAAGTAATATAGTGGAAGTGGAGTTGTTTGATATTTGGGGGATTGATTTCATGGGACCCTTTTGTGCCTTCTGATGGAAATATGTATATCTTAGTTGCAGTAGATTATGTCTCTAAATGGGTTAAAGTTGTAGCATGTATGAGAAATGATGCGAGAACAGTAATCAATTTTCTGACGAAGCAGATATTCTCTAGATTTGGCACTCCGTGGGTAATCATCAGTGATAAAGGTACTCATTTTTTCAATAGAATGTTGGGGGCCATCTTAGCTAAGTACCAGATAAAGCATCGAGTTGCCACTGCTTACCATCCTCAGACGAATGGTCTTGCTGAAGCCAATAACAAATAATTGAAGACCATTCTTGAAAAAGTTGTAAATGGGTCAAGGAAAGATTGGGCAACAAACTTAGATGACACTTTATGGGCTTATAGGACTGCCTACATAACAAGTTTGGGGATGTCCCCATATAAGTTAGTTTTTGGAAAAGCATGCCACTTGCCACTAGAGTTGGAACACAAAGCTTATTGGGATTTGAAAGAGTTGAGTTTAGACATGAAGGTAGCTGGAAAGAAAAGAATGGAGCAGTTGGTGGAACTTCAAGAGTTTAGGATGCAAGCGTATGAGAATGCCAAAATTTGAAAGGAAAAAGTTAAGAAATGGCATGACAAGAAGATCTTGAAAAGGGAATTTGTTGAAGGACAATTGGTTTTACTTTTCAATTCAAGATTAAAGTTATTCCCAGGAAAGCTGAAGTCAAGATGGTCTGGCCCTTTTAAGATTGCCAAGGTTTGTCCAGGAGGTGCACTGGAGCTAATAAATGAGAATGATGGAAAGATTCCTTGTGAATAGGCAACGAGTGAAACATTATTTTGGAGAAGAAAAAGAGGATTTGACTGTGCTTCACCTGAAGCCTGTTGAAGAATGATCTGGTCATTTATTTTCTTGTTTTTGTTTTTGTTTTTGTGTTTATTTTTATTGTTATTTTTGTTTTTATTTTATTTTATTTTATTTTTATTTGTTCTGGTTTTGGTTTTATTTTATTTATGTTTTTGTAAATTTCATTTATTTTTGTTTATGCATGGTTTCGTATTTCATTTTAATGGTTTTGTTTTGTTCTAATAAATCTATCGAGTGTGCATCCCTTGTTTGCTATCCAGGTAGTTGGTGATGAAGTGAGAGTCGTGGAAAAGAAAAAAGCTCGAGTTTGTTTTATTTTATTTATGTTTTTTGTAAATCTCATTTATTTTTGTTTATGCATGGTTTCATATTTCATTTTAATTGTTTTATTTCATTCTATTTGAAGAGTCTTAATACATTTTGATGTATGGCAGGATCAAGCAAAGGAAAGGAAGCTTAAAAGAAGAGTATGCGGAATCTGATCGCGAAGATGGATTTCAATCACATGATTCGAAGATCGGATTCTTGAGCTACTACTTAGGAGTTATGATAGATTGCTAGGAAATATTGTAATAGCATAGTTTCCATTTAAAGTTGCATTGTAAGGAAAAAGTTTTTCCGCATTTTATAAATAAATAAATTTTTTGTTTT